TCCAGTCTTTTATACCCCACTTAATTGCCCTTGGCAATATTTGTTTCATGGCACTCTCCACCTATGTCAATGTACCCTCTATCCTGGTACTATACATAAGCACCTCATTCAGGTAATGTTATCACTTTTTCTCGACAAAATGTTACTAAGGTTTCCAGCACTGTGATTGTTTGTAGATGTTACCTAGTTAATTTTCGTAACAATAAAAAAAATGTAATACTATTTCTTTTTTCTGATTGGCAAGCTGTTTTATGCCATGAATTATCAGATTATTATTTCTGATATCTAGTGTCGGACAATAATTGGGGGGGGGGGGGTCACTCTTAGTTGAGACTGTCAGTGATTTATTCATAATGAGATGGAGACATATTCGGCTATGTGGTGTTCCCTCGGAGGGCTCTAAGGAGGCAGTTAATGGTGATTTTAGACGTTCTGGAGAGAATTTAGATTCACTTGTCCCTGCACCTCCTTTTGTTCTGTTGGCTTTTCAGTCCCCCTGTGGGACAATCGTGAGTTTTTGGGTTTGCAGCATTATAATTTGGGGTTCGATTCCTTACAGTGGACACAGGAAGATAGGCCAACATTGCTTTGCTTTCACAAAACAAACTTACCTGACCAAATGTTGTTCCAATCAACACAGTCTTTAAATGTAATACAAAACAAAAAGGAGGTCACTTTGGGATAAGCTGCCTTTGATTTGTTTTTTTCAGTTGGTTCATCGAGTGTGTGATGTTTGGGTTTTCCCCAGTTGCTTTTGAGCCTACACCTTACTTTAGGGCTGCAAGGTCTGGAGTGAATGTTTAGTTTTCTCTTCATCCATGGACATTGTGGTTCATGCAGGGAGGTTTACTCATCAGTTACATGAAGGGACAGTTATGCCTTATTCGACAAGGTTGTCGGAACTTCGTGAACTAGGTGGAAAAATATTCCAACTCTCAAATAACACATCTGCTCCTTGAATTTCGGGGGTTTTATGCCAGAATTTGTAATTCACCTGAATACATTAATGTCCCCCGGTGGGACAGGGTATGTCTACTGACTTACAACTCTCACTGATGCCGCTGTCAGTGATTCAACCGAGCAGTGAAACCTGTGGATATAGACAGAATCTATTCTGTGTACCAAGGTACCAATGGGCTGATCTCAGGGGTTGGGATCTTATATAGGGGGGAATCAAGACTCCCTGTAGGAGCCGATAAATTTCGAGATGCCAAAAACAACAAGGATGAACGTAGAAGCTGACAATTGAACCAATGTACATGTTAACAGTGGTTCCAGCTCATCATCGGTGAAGTTGTGGACCTGAGAGACTTCAAACAAAGTGTAATATAAGGAAAACAAAAAGTTGGAGTCTACAACTTTTTGGTATTGAAAAGTATATGTCTATTGAAAAGTATTGAAAAGTATATGTCTACTGACTTACAATGCTCCCCTTCCCTGTCTGGGTAAGAAGAACTGGTCTGAGGACATCAGTTAGAATGATAAAGCAGTCTGTGGACAAACAGTACAAACCACTCTTACATGTCTGAAGGTTAGCAGCAACGAAAAATAAACCTTCAGGTAGAGGTGATACATGACATATCAGAATTAGGACACAATCAGTAAAAAATGTCAAATCAGATTGAGGAATGAGTAACTTATAGATTTTGGAGAATGGAGGCACTGATACAGACGAAAAAGATTGGTGACAGGACACCAATCTCCTGTCTTCTTAGGCCCAACAACCAATGGGAATAAACCGCAGAAGAACTAGCACGATTCTCTCACTATCCCCAGACCAGCCAAACACTGACAGCCCTAGAATTAAGTTCCAATTTATGAGGATCTGGAAATCCTACAGGTTGGGTGGATAATAGTGGTGAAGATGTAAATTGAATGACTAGCCTGACTCAAGGACCAGTGGTGCTCCTAGATCCGTGGGTATGGGTACCACACATCCAGAAATACTCGGGCATACAATAAAGTAGGCAAAAAACCCCAGATGAACATACTGCCAGATCATGCAAATGTGAGATAAAAGTATTGGGGAAGGTTCACATACCAGTCTGCACAATGTCCTCCAGTGGGAAATTTAACCACACCACTAAGGACAAAATAGGACAAATCTGATTATACATGACTCACACAAAATTCTTCGCCTTCAAAGAGACCCCAGAATAAAAATTTGTCATCTAGCATTTCGAAAGGCATTAGTGCAGGCAAAAAAATCTTTAAGACCCTGAGTATGACAATGATCAGAATCTGACTGGTCATAGACGTGAGAAATAGTAATCAGATGAATTGGTGAAAAGGATTAATCCATTTTGGCTAGATTATACAGAGGGGCAAGTATTTTCATTGTACCTTTCAGGGTTCCTTGCTTTGTTTTCACAGCATCCCATTCTGTGGCGAGTGTTGCCCAGGAAGGTATGCTTTTTTATCAAATTAATTCTGCACTAACAACTGTTAATTCAGTATACATTATCTAGGTTGCAATAGGCTCTGTAGAAATGCTGTATTCCATAAGACCAACTTAAGGATGACTGGGTAGTCTCATTGTACTATGCTGGACCAACTTTTATGGACAATCATGGGTAAAGCATAAGAGGATCCTGCCTATTCCTGCCAATTATTGGATTGAATAAATTGGGGTTGATTTGCTTTTAAAAATTTAGGGAACTTGGTTCAGCTATTGCACTGTTTCCTCAAGACTTCCCGACACGCATTATCCAACAGATTGTACTACTGGAGCTAGGAAGTCCTTACAACACCCAGTTTATTGCACTGTTTCCAGAGCACTGTTCCTCAAGACTTCCCAACACGCATTATCCACCAGATTGTACTACTGGAGCTAGGAAGTCCTTACAACACCCAGTTTATTGCACTGTTTCCAGAGCACTGTTCCTCAAGACTTCCCAACACGCATTATCCACTAGATTGTACTACTGGAGCTAGGAAGTCCTTACAACACCCAGTTTATTGCACTGTTTCCAGAGCACTGTTCCTGAAGACTTCCCAACACGCATTATCCACCAGATTGTACTACTGGAGCTAGGAAGTCCTTACAACACCCAGTTTATTGCACTGTTCCTCAAGACTTCCCAACATGCATTATCCACCAGATTGTACTACTGGAAGTCCTTACAACACCCAGTTTCCAGTCACTGGGGAGGTGGACAGAAGCTTTTCCTCCAGAGTGTTAGAGCAAATTCCCTCCACTTTTGGAGAAGAGAGTGAAGTTCGGAGGCCTTCTTACCTGGGTCCCTGGACGTTTTTCCCATGTGTCAGTATGAAAGGCACCAGCCTATGTTAGAGCCTATTTGTAATACCAGTTCAGATTTGACACTCAGCCATCTGGTTGGATTGAGCCCTTCATTTCAATCATTATTGGTTCAGCACATTGTTCATGGAACAGGATCCATTGTCTCCTCATAATTACTAACACAGAGTGGTCCCATCTTGGGTCCTTGGTTGAGTACAGTTTGTTTCACGTCCTTCTCATAATTCTGGAGGAATTTACCTTGCCCACATGGTTGGGGAGTTGTGATGAGTGTTCATAATTCCAGACTGGATAAGTTCTGTTTCCTCAGGTTGAGTACAGCATACAAGAACTCAGCCATCTGAGCCTGGGGGGTGTTGCCTTTCAGACTTGTTCAGGTGGACGAGAAGGTTTGTGTACTTCGGCGTTGCTTACCTTCTCGTCATGATTTCAGTGGCTCAAAATGCACATATATATTTCTAATGTTAATTTCTCTAGCCACCAATGTGGGATATAAGGGACCGTATAATTCCAACCATAAGCAGTAGAACCTTGGCTATCTGGTTGGGGCCTGGCCTATAGTGATGATAAACCATGTAAAATTCCACCCACAGTACAGGAATTATGTTCAGGGTGAAGAGCATACCTGTTCTGGATGTAGTGCAATTCCCCCACTAAGGTACTATTCTTCTATTGACACACTCATGATCTATGCAGACACTTTCTATATGGATAATGCCCTCACTGGCTCCTCCACTTTATCAATGTGTGATTCTATTTATAACTGTGAGAAGAGGTAAGTATGTTTTGGAAGTTAACATTTTCTTAAATTGAAAATGTATTTCCAATAATACTTACCTCCTGCCATTCCTCCCCACTAAGAGCTGGTGTTAGAGACTGGGATTGAGTCAATGTTGAAAAAGTGATTACATTATCTGAATGAAGTGCTTATATACAATACCAGGAAAGAGGGCACGTAGGTGGAGAGTGTCATCAGACAAATATTGTCAAGGGCAATTAAGTGAGATATAAAAGATTGGGACAAGCAAGAAAAAATCTGACCAATGCTTAGATGGACAAAGGAAAAAACCCTGGCAGTTGAGTAGTAGATATAAGTGTGAGAGGAAGTATTATTGGAAATACATTTTTGATTTAAGAAAATAACGTTTATAAGAGAGAGAGGCTTTACAATTAACAGTATGAAAATTAATGAAGACTACTGTCTTAATTTAAACAACATTTTTGTGACTCACTAATAGCATGACGTTTCTTGATGAAAGCAATTATCAAATAATTAACATATGTTCTGTATTTTTGAGTTTTTTTCTCAGCTATTAAATTATAGGTTTTTTATTGCTGAAAGAAAAGCTGCTGTCTCATGGGATGTTGTTGTTCAGAAGTTGTTGGAAAGTTACCATACATCTATTTCACTGAGTATGTTAACTACATTTAATTCCCTCCTCCCTAATTTATTTACCACCCCTCTTAGAAGTATGGAATTTAACATAAATTACTCATTATAATACGGATATTACTAAAGCAAAGCATAATTTTTATAGCCTTCAATCTTATTTGTTTGCATACCATAGACTAGAGAATCAGACCCACTTGCTACATCCTCTTTTTCACAAATTACCAATTGTTCTCTCTGTTGTTTTATACTATATTATTTATAACCAATAGAAAGCCAGTTTTAATCTGTCAAATGACATATTATATTACGTTGTTTTCTGTAAAAATTAGTGTCTATTTTGCGTCCAGTTTGAAAATTTCTCTCATGGTATTCACAACAACAGGCTTAGCTACATTTTTTAGGGCTCTTATCGCATAGATGTAAAAATTAGGAACTTATTAGGTTAGGTAAGATAAAAAATTTCATGGGGTGTGTTCGCAAACAGCTCGTGCATTACATAATTCAATACAGTAACTTGAGCTGTGTGTTAGCAAAGTGATTTAAAACTTGTGTGATGGGGTATTAGTTAGACATGGATCAAAGGGCAATAAAACTTTTGTGTACAAAAAATTTGTAATATTTACTGAAAGCTTGCCAAATTTCATGAAGGTACACAAAACATATTAAAAAGTGTATAGTATGGGTACAAGGGTGTGTAATCCACTGAGCCTGTAGCAAGAAGGTTAGATAGCAATAAAAAAATGTTTTTTTTGTTTGTTTTTTTCAGTTTTTAAATTTTTTAGAGAGAAAATAGTCTCAGGAAAGACTGAAACTTATTTTCTCTCTCTGTGGTGGGTTTACGTAAGAACTAGAGACTGAATCCAGTCAATACCTGCTATGTATTGACTTGTATAGTACCAGATTTAAGTTTTATAAAATGGGTGGTTCATGTGCATGCTAACCTCAGTAGGTGCTAAGTCAGTTGGACAAATCTTATAATTGAGTCTAACTTGTGACAAATCTTATAATTGAGTCTAACTTGTGACAAATCTTATAATTGAGTCTAACTTGTGACAAATCTTATAATTGAGTCTAACCTGTGACAAATCTTATAATTGAGTCTAACCTGTGACAAATCTTATAGTTGAGTCTAACCTGTGACAAATCTTATAGTTGAGTCTAACCTGTGACAAATCTTATAGTTGAGTCTAACCTGTGACAAATCTTATAGTTGAGTCTAATCTGTGACAAATCTTATTGTTGAGTCTAACCTGTGACAAATCTTATTGTTGAGTCTAACCTGTGACAAATCTTATAATTGAGTCTAACCTGTGACAAATCTTATAGTTGAGTTTAACTTGTGACAAATCTTATAGTTGAGTCTAACTAATAGGAATTTGCATATGAGTTTCATAAGCCTTTCACTTTACAAAATGTTTATCTCAACAGACACCCTGTTCATGGAAGGTACTGATATCCTTATGCTTTCTGTTTTCGATGCTCTGCAGGACATATTTTGTTATTTTTCCATTCCAAGCCAGTTGATGATTATTGACATTTCTATACTACGTAGATTGGAACTTTGTGTTCAATCCAGCTCAAACTGTCAGTTATTGTTATGAATTACATGCTGATTCTTTTTTACCAATAGAAACCTCCATTATTAATATTGTAAATTTTTTACCCTTATTTCTCTCTAATGTTTGCCATATTTCCTAAGTACACAAGTACAAACTCTGAGCTGAATTTTTAAAGCCATGCTATAATTTAACACAGATTTATTACAGGCTTGTTAATATGAGAATTTCACTGTTACAGATGATGTAGAAGACCACGTTCGGTTGATGTCAGAACTCCTTCCTGATTGGTTATTTGTGGTTCAGGTTCGCAGAGGTACCTTCTTAAAGATTGATAAAAACAAAGACCTTACAGTTCTTTCAGAAAGAATAGAAAACTTGATGAAACAGGAGAAATAGCTTTTTGGACTCGTGTGTTACAATGATGTAATGTGTATTATTATTTGAAGTGCCTTTTTCAGCACATATGAAAATATCTTAAGTTGGATCTTGTACTAGTATAGTAAGTTCTGGAATTATTAATGAGTACATGCTTTTTTACATTGACCATCTGAAGTGACACATTTTATTAGAAAAATACTTTTTTTAATATTGAATTTATAGCAAAATAATTTTTTTTTGTTTTTAAAATTTTTTTAGACATTTTATTTAAATACATTTATTCCTTTCAGACAAATTTCTGTATTTATGTTATTTTAGTAGAGTGAAAATTGTAAAGTTAATCACAACACGCTATTAGCAGCCTAACTTTAATACTTTGTTATATGTGTTTCTGGTCGTGCTTTGTGAGAAATATTTCATTTTTTACCCAGATAAATAGGTTAAATGTAAATAAGCATTGAACCATTTTTAAAATTTTGTAATGTATTATTAAAATATGAAGTTTTATTCTTAACTTTAGAGATTTTAATTACTTAATTAAATATGATACAATTTAAAATTGGAACACTTATCAATATAACGATATGATGTTAAATATAGAACAATTTTAAAAGTTAGTTTGAATAATACATTTAATACTATTACCTCAAAAAATAAAAAGCTTTTTCATTATGAACCCAGTTTTATGTATGTTAATCTCTGAAGGCATAGTTGTTTTTAGAAATAGCTTTCAAAACTTATCTTTTGTGTGTATGCATTAAACAGGTAATAGTAAACTAAACTGGTTGAGTTATGAGAAAGTAAAAGTAAATCTAGTAACTAAGGGTTACTAATTATGGTAAAATGCTACAGGAATTAGCTAGACTGTTTATTGTCCTTAAATAATGATATTTAATATGTCATTAAAGTGTACATTTGCCACCACAATGATATTAACCCATAGATGAATCCCACATTTTAAACATCTGAATAGAACTGTTTTCAGAATTTTGAAAATGTTTCATCATGATGTTAATAACAATGTATGTAATGATACTTTCTTGGAAACATTTAAGAGACTAAATGAATTAATCAACTAGAATCAAGATTTACTCTGATATTAACACATAAGATTATTAGTCTTATTATAACATGCAAAACAAGTTAGATGATTTTTTTTGAAGTATGAATGTCAACTATATTATATTTGTACTGGAATTCTTATTATCAGTATTGGAACTTAATAAAGGTGTCACTTTTCTTAGAGGTGATAAACTATTGATAATATTGAACTGTAGTTGAGAAAAAGTACCTAGTGAATATTTTTCATAAATATGGTATTCTTGAGTAACAACTGAATTCCCCCAAAAATAACAAGACAGGTCAGCAGAATAAAAGATTTAATCAGGAAATATGTTGTAAAGTAATTCTGGATTATCCAAACAGAGTTTTTAAAGAAAAAGACTTGACACAGTTTAAAAATGAACACAATTTTTTGTTTACAAACCCCAGACAACAGTTTATGTATTTTGTTTTGCACAATGGACAGTACCTTTACTAGATTGTATATTCTCTCTAAATTTTTGTAAATTTGTTCCCAATTGAGAAAACATTGTACACACAAAACAAGAATGTCATATTATTCATAGGCAATTTGTCCCTCCCACGTGATTCTTAGTCATCCCCATTGATCATAAGGGAAGTTGTATCCTCTAGATATCACTTGACCTGCCAGTTTGAAAAGTTACTTTGTACTTTCACACATGGGCACCCAATTGTTCAGAGATAAGACTTTTAATGCTAAAAACTAGGTTTCTGATACCTGTTGTGGGCACAGCACAGATAGCCCATTGTATAGCTTTATGCTTAATAACAGCAAACAAATTTTCACAAATAATTTGTACAACTTTGTAGAAACCTTTCCAACAGGAAGGCAAAGGTGATACCTTGTGTAAATAGCACAAAGAGTTAAAAGTGAAAGGAGCCTAAAGGCTTTCATGACATAAACCTGAATAAATATATATTTTGGAAATTTCTCTATTAAAAAATGAGGATAGCAAATACATAGAGTGTCTGCATACCATACAAGCTTTCAAGAAATAAGTAATCCTTTAGTTAACTTAAAACACAAATACTAAGCTTTTCACAAAATAAGAAACCTAAACAGTATAGAAAGTTACACCTCCCTTGGAGATGAATTAGCTAATTATCTAGTTTAACATCATTTGTTCATGCATGTGAAATTTTTCACATTTCATGATAGTGACTACCTAAGCTAGAATGTTGACCTGGCTTCTATCGTATTAGACAATTTAAACAGAAATGGTCATTTACATCCCTTCATTTGGTGACTTTCTTTTCGACTTTGTTTTTGACATAAAATATAATTTAGTGGTGTGTTACACTTCTAAAGTGTCATGTTGTTATAAATGCTGTTAGGTATACTGAAATAACTGAAAAATTATAATTTTTATTTGAGTAATTGAAACTAGGGCTGTATATCTATAGCAGCTTTGCATTATAATAGCCTGTAATGCGATGCATATCACAATATGTATCGTGAATTTCACTTCTACGTTATATAGTAAAACATGTAGAAAAGTTTAGACCTGAAACTACTAGTACAACCACAAAATCTTAGCTAATGCACAGGTAAAAAGCAATTTATACATAATTAAAAACCAGATATACAACTTTCTCCACTTATATTTCAAAATGAATAACCAGAAACTAGATCAATATTAAAATGGGATTATGTCTATCTGGAATGAATATTGTTCCATAGAAAAGAATACACATACAAATAACATCCTCCATCTGTTTAATTAGAACACATAGAAATTAGATCAAATCAAATTTGTGGCAGAAATATAGGTTAGGTTTAAAAATCTTTCAAGTCTCCGAATTAATTTGTGGGGCCTGAAAGACAACCTGGCGTGGTCAGAAACTTTTGTTTCTTTTCACCCTGCATGTTGAGAGATTAAGTGCCAAAACGAATTTGTATGGAGCTACTGGGCATAGATTAGATATAAGCATCTATAGAGAAATTATGATGAGTGTGCAGAGTTAAGGAAGGTGCTGACTCAAGCTCGCTGGGAAGCTACAGAGAGACCGTCGTTTTGCAGTTGGTGTGGAACGCGTGTGATTATTTATCCATGTGGCAATGATGTCAGTTGAATAGTGCAGTGGTTGTCACGGAAGGATTAGGGAGATGCAGACTGAGTGATCACGATTTTGTTTTGAGAGATTGCATAGAAGAAATTTTATTGAAATTAAGGAGATTTTCTAGAATTTTGATAATAAACTATGACTAGTTAGTCATGGTGGTTAGTCTTGTGGACTTACAAGATTAACAGCCCCTTTCAGTAGGACTGGGATAGAATATCCTATGCCATGTGAAATTTTGTTGCAAGGGGGAACTGGAGTGTCCAGAGAAAACCTGCTTTAATGGATCAGGTGTCGAATAACCTACCTGACCCATGCCCAAAATGTGAGGGTAAAAAGGATTGAATGGAGAGATGTATGTTTGCCATGTAGAGAGTATGGTTGCTAAGACAGGAAAGGTACTTGTATGACTGTTTCTGTTTTGTACTTTGCTTTAATATTTTTGGGCTAAACTGTGAATATGGTCTTTAATGCCAGGTATATTGGTGAGGTTATTGACATAGATTTGTGGGGGGTGTATTTGAGTGATAGAATGCTGTTTTGATCACAGTGGCCTGTTGCCATTGGATCTTTTTTATACAGTGGGTTGGGCATACTACATGTAATGGGACATCCGTATTTATAGAGAGGTCTGATGTAAGCTTTATAGATTTTGATGATTGAGTGGCTATTGCATCCTTTGTTTACACCCCCGATTCAGGGCAGGAGTGCCAACCTAGTGCTTGTCTTTTTGATGATGTTGTATAGTGAGGTAGTCTATGATAGGCGTGAATTTAATGTATTACCTAAAAATATGGCAGTAGTCTTAAAAGTGATTGTGGTGTTGTATATTGTGAGTTTAAGTTTTTATTTTCTTGTATTATCTGCCTATATTTCTGTGAAGTACTATTGCCTGTGTTTTGATTGGGTTGTAAAGTACTCTCCATTTGACTAATTGATTTAATGCATCTTGTGCTCTGGATACGGCAAACGGGTCACATGATGTGTTTCAGATGGCAATGTCATCGACATACTGAGAGATGAGTGTATATAATAGTCTTTAATTATCTTTATTTCACAATACTAAACATAAGTATATAGATAACTTCTCTAGTTTAACAATTCATTTAGTAGCAAAAATCTTCAATTTATCATGTGTAAACTTTATACTAATTAGTTAACACATAAGTCTTTCTTACTACTATGACTACACTGACTGAAGCTTGAGAGTCAGAAAAATTCTACTTACAACATAGTTGGCGAGGTGTACCTTTGCAGATTGGATACTTTCAACAACATCTTGGAACAACTGCTGGAGTTCATGAACACTTAGTAAGAACTCGTGAGGAGATTGATCTTCTGCCTCGAACACGAGTTTTTAAACAATTTTTCCTTTGTGTTCCTGCAAATTTTCAAATAGGATGCTGCACTACCTGCAAGTAGTTCTCCCACATTATTGGTTAATTCTTGTAACACATTGGACTGTTCCAAAACCCTCAAGTGATTGGTTACTGTTATGACTTGTGCTAGTATATATCTCAAGAGCTCCAGCATAAGCAATTGAGGGATCCAGAACTATTGTGGGTGCTCCCTGTCACAAGGTAACATGTGACCAGCATAAAGCAAGGATCATCATGTGGGTGCACACATCTTTGGTACTTGTACGAGGAAGTACATAAAAGTGCATGATGGCATTTTGTACCATTTTCTTTAGTCATTTATACATGGTTCTCAGCTAGGGGTCTCTGAGATGGAAAATTCTCCAAACTTTTCATAATGCATGGATGGAGGCTACCAAGCTGTCACAAGCACTACTGTTAATGTCCAATAGCAGTTCTACTAGGTGCTTTTGAATTGTGATGTTCAGTGCTGGTGTCAGCACCACATATGCAGCCCAGAAAAAAGGAACTAGCCTGTACAGAGTCAACTCCAGCAAGGAATTGTTGGTTCTCATCTCCAAAGAATAGCCCTGGATATTATCTGACCCCTCTCTGAAAGGGGGTGAGATGATAAATATTTCCTGGTCATTATTAACTACTTCACTAAGTTGATCAAGGCATACCCATTTGTCGACACTACCATAGTCCATTATTGATTCATTAGTAGAGCAATATATAGTCTGTTTTGGAGCTCCTGAAGAGAATTCAGGGAACTAATTTCAATAATAAGTTATTCTGAGTTGCTTACATTGGTGGGAGTAGTGAAGACACACTTCACCTTATTATCCTCAGTTCAATGGCTTGGTACAATGGTAATTAAGAGTGTGAAGTGTATACTTGCAAAATTTGTTTATCTTGGTCAAACCAAATGAAATGAATACGTGATGGTGTATCATGCTACTGGACAGGATCAACTGGATGTTTGACCAACATGCTTATGTTTGGGTGAGAAATAGTGTTGTCTGTAGGTATGATATATGGTTTATCAGCTAGTGCAGAGATGCCACAATGTCCATAAGTTTATGTAAAGTGGTTGTAAACTACATTGGCCAATGTGCATGAATTCATGGCCAGGAATTATGATAGGCTGCAACACATCAAAAAATATGCTATGACAGAACAGTCAAGGAAAGAACTTTTCAAAGAGGAGACTGTGGTGTGTACCAGCAGCATGGAAGAATCTCAGCTGTTGTTAAACATATCCACACCTAGTATTCTGAAAAGTTAGCAAATTTACATTTGAGATTCAGCATTCATGGGATGTGCATAAGCTTGTCTAGCTAGCACATGGATGAACCTCCTGTGCCCCAGTTTAACCATGAATCAGAATTAGGGACTGATGAGTCATAGGAAAGTGAAGATGCTATTTTGAAGCTTCTTAGCTCACTGATGAGAAGAAAGGTAAAAGTACTTATTTGCCTGCACTCAAAAACCAGATAAGGAAGTGCCTAAAGAGGTGCAGAAAAGCACTAGTTATTGGCCAAGATGACGATAATGACCCTGTTTGCTATGACTGGGATTAAATGCCAGATCAGCAGTTAGAGCAATCACTGATTGTACAATTGCTGACTAAAAAGAAGTGGTTATCATCACTTTGCAAGCTATCAAGTGATGTTTACAATACAATTCAATGTTGTGTACTACATTGAATGATTTTGTCTTGATTATCATCAG